AGCCCTAACTATCATTCCAGGATTTTGAGACAAAGTTACCCAATCCCTTTAAGTTTCAAAAAGTAGACTTCATTGACCTGTACATAGGCTTAGGAACCGGGGGGGGGGGGGGGGCTTGGGGGGGGGGGGGGCTCAGATATCATTGAGCCCTCCCCCAATATTTGTGGTGGGGCTTATAGATATCATTGAGTCCTTAGGGGCTAAGATACCATTGAGCTCCCAATATTTTAAGAGGGGCTCAGATATCATTGAGCCCCCCCCCCCAAAAAAAAAAAAAATAAATAAATAAATAAAAAAAAAATAAAAAAAAAAAAAAAAAATTAAAAAAAAAATAAATAAAATAAATAAAAATAAAAATGGCGGGGCTTATAGATATCATTGGCCCCCCATTTTTTAAAGAGGGTCTCAGATATCATTGAGCCGCCCCCGATACTTATTGCCGGGCCTCGGATATCATTAACCCCCTCCTCCCCAATCATTATAGTCTAGGCATGAAACTCATGTATACCTATAATCTACAGACTTACCATTCAAATATAAACATTTATTTTATTTCTCTACACAGATCAGTGTACATAGTACGTACATTCAAGAGAATTGCATACGATCCTTACAATAATATCAAATTGGCATCGCGCTATTTCTCGTCTGTTTCATGGTAGCTATGACCGCCCATTTTCGGAATATTCTCACCCTGACGAGGTTTTCATGAGTTTTCGCAGTTCATATTTGCTAAATCATATTATTTACATCAGCAAATGTGATTAGCTTTGGAAAATATTCGAATGGATTACATAATTTCTTCGTACGACGGAGACGGATAATGTGCTGTTTCACTCTCGTCGCACCGTGAGTTTATACACGTGTACGAACGGAGAGTTGGCGGTCTCGTTCACGCACATTTCTCTTAAATAACTTGTCAATTAAACTTGTGTTTTATACGAACGACAAGGATTCAGTCGCGGGAAGAAGCTGATTTTGGATTTGTGTATTTTTATCTTTCTATTACCATTATCTAAATCTTGTACCGGAATCTATGCAACGAACTGAAACGAAAATCGCGCTCGGCCCACGGTCTAATTTGTTTGTTTGTTTTTATTTCCGAAATTCAAACATACATGCAAGTTTTAAAAAAAATACATATTATTTTTTCTTCTTCAAATGTTAAGAAAATAAGTAAATGTGTTACGTATGGACAAACATTTGGATAGCTCATTTCAGGTCCATTTTCGATATGACCCTGTTCTTCCATCGATCTCCTTTACTCACCACTCCCTCCCGCCACCCTCTCGATACAGCCAACCCCTCCCGCTACCCCCTCCCAAGTCGTACATATAGATTTAGAGTATGCCATGCACTGTGAGAACACATGTATATTTGTTCTCACAGTGTATGGCATACTCTGAATCTATATGTACGACAATGTTTCGAGCTTTATACTTCTCTCGTTTTGTTAGAGGGACGCCCTTAAATATATACGATTATATACCTCACTTAAGAAATCCAACCATCTGATTGGTCGAAATTGCATTCATAAACTTTAACTATTCCTGTAAAATTCCCGGTAAAATTCCAAACCCATGTAATAGTTCTGAAATAATAGTTCTAAAATCCCAGTTACCATGGTTACCGAGAAAATAGTTCAGTCTTGGTGAAATACCCATAGGTTCACATGTTAAAACTGGTTTGAGCGATCGAGGACGTACGTGTGCGAAGAATTGGTCGGTAATTTCAAACCGAAGGCAAAAATGGCTGAAGAAACTCTCCCAAGATTTCAACTTCTTGATGATGATCAAATGCAAGACTTGCTGACAGCAGGGACATGCTAGACAGAGCACCAAAAAGGGTAAGTTAAATTCTCCATAATTTTTTTTCAAAAGTCTAGGCCTAGATTCTAGTAAGTAGGTCTAGTAGTGCTAAAATCCTTCCCGTAGATATTGCACGGAATTCAGATTACACACATCCCTATACATTGGCATTGCGCACTGGCATTGCATTGCAATATGCATTGGCATTGCAAACTTATATTGCTCGTGATTCTGAAGGTGATACTCAATAAGTGAGATGTCATATGAAAGCGCAGGTTCTTCTCCATATTCCTCACAGGGCCGGCACACCCCCAAAATTGTAAAAATATCTTGCTTAGACTACAATCTAGATCTAGTCTACTCTCAAAGATACACTCATAAAAATCAACCGTGCAGATAAACAAGAGAAAGGCCAAGGTGGTGTCATAAGTTGACTCTTTTGTTTTCGGCATATAAAAGAATAGAATAGTTGTTTTTATACGCTCTCGGGAAGGTTACAATTAGGCACGCCTCGGGCAATAGCACAGTTCTAACCTTCCCTTGAGCGTATAAAAACAACTATTTCTCTCAAAGCAGTCATTAATACTATACTATTATATATATCTACATTGAAAGATGCTGCAAACTCCTTGATAAGTATTTCTGTTAACATTTTCAAACAAGACACTGAGTATAAATGTGGTTCGCAAAACGTTTAAATCCAGTTTATTCAATGAGGACATGTTACATAGGTCAAGGCACAATATGGCCTACCCGTTCACTACCAACATAAATAGTTGACATGCTAATCATCAGTACATTAATAACATTTAGATTGTAACATTTAGCTGTAAAAACTCACAGCTCCCTGGTAATATCTATTTGTCAAATTATCGAAAAAGGATTTGGGTGATTAGACCTGCGAGTTTGACGTATTTTCAAGCAGCGAAGGATCAAATGTGGAGAGTAAAACATAAGAGACATACAGGGAAAGAGACAGAATGAGTATGTATTTATGTCCGTTTCACTTTACACGATTTTCGTAACGAGAGGAAGAAAATGAGAGACAAAGAGAGAGAGAGAGAAAGAGAGTTACAGGGAGAGAGGGGAGGTATGGGCTGACAGACAGTTGGAGCCAGAGAGTCACAGAGAGAGAGAGAGAGAGAGAGTGAGTGTAAGAGAGAGGGTGACAGAAAGTTGGAGTTGGAGACACAGATAAAGAGAGACAGAAGGTTGGAACGACAAAGAGAGAAAAGGAATGAGAGAGAATGAGAGAGAGAGGGGGCGGGTATGGGCTGACAGACAGTTGGAGTTGGAGACAGAGATAGAGAGAGAGTGTATTTTACTTTTAAAAAAAAAATCTATATTCTAATTTTTACCTTATTGTTAAATCAATATCTGTTATTCTCTTGATAAATTACTACAGTCAACAAGATTACTCAAAAGTAATTTTAAAAGGTCATAGATGATAAGGCAGATGGAAATTTTATGATACATACGTCGAATTCCAGTTTAATGATATAGGGATACATAATCAATTTAGAGAATTCGGCAAATGGAAGGTTGAATTGCATTTTGTGAATGACAGCCGATGGCTGAATTGCTCACAATATTTACAGAATGTGCAGCATTCTGTGAAATTTCGGAGAACATTTGACAAGTGATCGTATATTATTCGTCGACCAGCTGTCGACCTTTTCCCAACCAAATATTGTTCGGAAGACCCGTCGGTGATCAGTCGCCAATCGATGCCGCATTAAATCTTCTAGCCAATCAAAACGCTCTAGAGACCAATCACCGACCACTCATAATCTTTTAAAAACTGTCAAAACCTCTTAACCTTTGAAATAAACTTTGAAATACAAACATCATTACACATAAGGAACAAAACACTAAAATATTTGACATGTACTATTCTAGGAAGAAAAAAATGGTTTAGATACTTTTTAATGGTATGGGTTAGTCAAAACCGCCTTGTACCAAACACAGAAAAAAAAACATACGTCGTGGTCATAGCTTCGCGTGCAAATTTAAACAAAAATAACAACCTTCAACCTTTCTATAAATGGAAAGGTACTAAAAAGAGTTAACGTCGTCAAATGTCCTGGTATAATAATTGATGAAGAATCTAATTGGTCCAAGCTTGTTGAAAAAGTAACAAAAGTAACGCAATGAAATATCAGTGTAATAAAACGGGCTAAAGACAATTTACCAATAACATCTTTAAAGTTGCTGTATAATGCACTCGTATGGACTCACATTGATTATTGTTCCTCTGTAAGGTCAAATCAGTATCAGGAACAAACGGATAAACTCAAGACAGTTAACAAAACGAGCTGCTAGAACAATTTCAAACAAAAGTTACTACACTACATAACATTAATTAATTAGCAATCTAAAATGGATGCAAAATGAGAAACGTTTTGAAATTCAGCGTGTGAATATGATGTACAAATGCACACATAATTTGGCGCCATCTTATTTACAAAAAAAGTTTAATTGAATTAAGTGACATTCATCAGTATAATACGAGACAAGCAGATGGTTCACTTTATGTGCCAAAGTATATAACATAATGAATGATTTCATACAATTTATTATCAGTTATAAATATATTAGTACTTTTACTTTTTATTTAAGAATGTGCATTCGATTGCTATACTAGATTACATGCATTAATTTTACATATTATTCAGTAATTTACTATCCTGTAATTTTGTTGTTGTTTTAGATATGTATATAACAATTTTGGTATCCCTAATGACTTTCTTAAATGAGCCGAAGTAGTTTCTATGCTTTGTTTATGAACTCTCAAAAGTACATGTTGACTTGTTTAAAGTCTAATACATACAGAAATATGCTAATATTTACTTTTCATCGCATTTAAACATTAATTGCCGTCTATACTATAATGTTATATGAAGATGTTATAAATATGCAGCAACGTTTTCTTGAACAGGAAAGCAAAGCAAATCAAAGCAAGCAAACCATTCTTTCATTACGAGGGTACAAAATATTGTATATATGTTGATACATGTTCCTACTTATTTCTTCTTCTTCTCCTTCCTCGGTAAATGCTACTTCATACAACGAAGATTACGCATTGCATTGTGGTGTGTGCCAAGCCATGTTGTTGCTGTTTTGAGTTTATGTTCATGATTTTGTTATTATTATTATTATTATTGTCGTACATATATGTTTTTTTTTAGTAACTATTATTTTTTAATATGTTTAACAGGGCCTCACAAAAGACCACCATTGTTAGTGATAATGAGTCACCCTGTCTCAATATCAGAAATAAATAAATAAATAAATTAGTTAACTCTTTAAAAGACGGGGCCGAAAATTCTATTTTCTTCAAAGTCTTCTTCAAAACACACCCACATACATTAGCTTACATTACTGGTTGCTTGGTCTGACAAGCTTGAAGCTTGTCCGACGTAGCAGTAGCTAATATATGCAACGCATACCCCAACAAAAGAAACACATAGACCAGGTAGAGGTTAGCTTATCTTCTCCAAGACATTTCCAAGCTTTCTCCATTTCCTGCGCTGATACCTCAATCTTTAAATAATCCTGTTCTTTCTTTTGCGGGTGGTGGTCTTTAAACCATGTAGATCGGTCAACGATTCTGATGCTTAACTTGTCCAAGAGTATACCGCAATAAACATCGTCAAACGGCATCGTTGCTGGGATTTCTCTGGATATCAGATAGAGTTCTTCGACTACGTGGCGTGACATAACATACCCATGCCCGAATGAATATGGAGGGTACGTCTTAGCTGGGTAGAAGTTCTTTGGTATGTACCGTTTACTCTCCACGTCACGAAACGGTTTAGACCCCTCTACCTTAGATCCCAGCACGAATTGAAAGTGATCCTTCGAGGGTAAGGCGTCGAGGTCGTTGACGAGGGTCACGATATCAACCATGACATCGTCATCAATCGACATTAAGAATTCACTGTTGTTGCAAAATTGCAAGGCCCATTTAAACCCCATGACCAGTTTGATGGTGAGATTGTAATAACCGTCGTGGAAGCCCACGTTCAGGATATCTCTATGTCTTAGGGCCTCTATTTGAATGTTTTTCCTCTCGTTTCGTGCTTTGGTATCTCCTACGATGAAAAGCAACCTTGTGGACACATTCAATTTCGCGGCCCCACTGATGTACGTCCGCCTGGCAGCATCCCTGCGTCGAGTATTACCTGGTGCTGATTTAATTAAGACAAGTAATGTGATATTATCTTTTCCAGCGTTGCACTTATCGACAGGATTGATTAAAAAATCATATATATCCAGCTCAGCTCCTGGCTCCCATTGTACATTTTGCTGCCATCCGCGCAACGGAATCGGAGTGGGTTTCTGTTCGGGTGGTGTTTGTGTCGTGACATTATATCTCACAGTGTTGACATTTCTATATGTCACATTTGAAAAAACAGCTCTTTGTAGTAATCTTCCTTTTAAGACTTTTTGTAATCGATAATACGTGGAGCTGTTATGGTAGATGACAATACATGAAATAGCAATGCAGAACGCAAATATCATAAGCTGCAACTTTCTATATCTCATCGTGTTAACTGGTTAATTCCACTGATAAGAAGAGTACGGTCCATTAATATGCTGGGTAATTAGTGATAATTGTATTCTCAGAGTGATCCAGTCTTCATGTCCAACTGCGTTAACATATTGGTCTATCACTGTTGTTAAATTAGTTACATTTGGTAGTTGATAAGAATGATAAAACGATACTGCCAATCAGTCACTCCAATTATACAAACTGTCCTCAGAAAACCGTTAGACAGATGAAAATACGAGCCACCCCTATTTTATTCGGTCACTGCAGCCACGCGATGAGTTGCACTGCTCTCCGCTCAGTTTGTAGCGAACGTAGAAATAGTACAGATATGCAAATTATTGTATTTTCACAGAGATCCAGTCTTCATATCCAACTGCATCGGTCTATCACTGTTGTTAGATTGGTTACATTTGATAGTTAATCACAATGATAAAAACGTGGTGAAAATTTGAAATACTGTCGATATTTCCAATGAGTCACACCAATGATACAAAGTGTCCTCATAAAAAAACGCGTCAAACAGATGAAGATACGAGCCACGCCTTTTATATTCGGTCACTGCAGCCACGTTATGAATTGAACTGCTCTCCGCTCAGTTAGAGAACGTAGAAATAGTAGAGATGTGAAAATTATTGACCCGAAACAAAATTGTAGCAATGTCCCTAATCGATAGAGTCTGTTTTTCCTCAAAGCGCAATAGATGGAGATCAGTGTCCTAGTTTTTATGCATCACGTGACTTATGTCATATCTTCCCAGAATTATATTGATTAACCTAAAGCCCATTTGATTGATAAATTAAGTTCACTGAAGGTATAAACCACTCATTACAGGTGTTACGGGTTCTTACATTGATATTCTACACGTGCTCTGCGTAAATTGGTTAATTTATGGGTCCCAAGTCCCCTTCTTGAAATACTTCTAAATTTCAGGCGTTCTGCAACAGTTGTTCTTTAAATGAGGAGGGGAAAATGTAATGTAAAATGAATACTAGATAATTGACCGTGCCACATTTGCAAATGTTTATAAAGAGGGGTCAAGTGGTTGAGATCTGTCCCTTGAGCATGATGAGAATGCTGCCCGAAGTTGACCCTCAGTGAATAAACTTTGTAGAATGTAGTGGTCTTACTAGTGAATACGTCACCGGTCTGTGGACCACATGGTTTGTGGTTCGAGTCCCGCAGTGGCACATTTTTTCCTTTACTTAATAAACATTTGCCACTCTCCACCCAGGTGATGTAAATGGGTAGGCTTACATGTCGGAAAAAACAACCATTTGAATGAAGATTTTATGTATTAAAGATGTAGTTGAGTTCTGGTCATGCGATTGCATTGTGAAAGAAACGGTGTGGAATTGACCAGAAAAGTCTGATTATCTAGCATATAAGAATTTGTATGTATTGCAAGGTTCTGGGATCATCAAAATGATAAGAAATTTGGCCAAGTCTTGGTAAAGTTACAAACACTGTACACAGAAAGATGTATATGGGACGATACGAACACGTGGCGTAAAAATCCTACCCTGGAGTTAAACGATGTTACATGACATATTTAGAATATGAAGGCAATTGAAGAGCCATGCTTTTCAGGGAACATGTCTTATCTGATGTTCTTCCACACTTGCATAATAAGAATGATAACGCTCACAAATTATTTTTCACCTCTTCCCAGAACTCAAGCTTCTCTTTATAGTGGGGGCTGTTAGGGCTAAAAAGGGGTTGTTTGGTGCAGATTCTTCTAAAAGCACCAAATTTGGCCCAGAGGTAGATTATACCATACTTTTACGATTCCTGCCGGACGCCAAAAAAGGCGCCGTCTGGGTATGCCATATTGGGCAAATCCAAAATGGCCGCCATCTGTGTTAAAGGTCAAGCATAGTTCCAAAGGAAAAGCGCTTGTGTGATAATAGTCTATATATTTATGGGGTTTGGGGGTCAGAGAATCTGAATATGATGTTCTTTCAACGATTTGAGGGGTCCTTGGGGCTGCCATCATACTGGTCATATTGGTCAAATCCAAAATGGCCGCCATCTGATAGTTACAGGTCAAGTGTAGTTACGAAAGGAAATGGGCTAGTATGGCTAGTATGATATATATTTATGGGGTTTTCTGGGTCAGAGAATCTGATTATGATGTTCTTTCATCGATTTGAGATCTCTTCGGGTCGTACTGAGAATATTGGTCAAATCCAAAATAGACGTCATCTGAGTTACTACAGCCTACGGGTCAATAGTAGTTCCAAAAGGAAAAGAGCTAAAATGATAAGAGTTTATGTATTTATGGAGTTTTCGGGGTCAAAGAATCTGGATATCATTTCCTTTTACCAATTTGAGATCGACTTGGGGCTGTCATGCTGGTCATATTGGTCAAATCTAAAATGGCTGCCACCTTTGAGTAAAAGGTCAAGTGTAGTTCCAAAAGGAAAAGGGCTAGTATGATAAAAAGTTTATATAGTAAGAGGGTTTTCGGGGTCAGAGAATCTGATTATGACGTTGCTTGTATCGATTACAGGTCTCCTTGGGGCTGTCGTGCTGGCCATATTGGCCAAATACAAAATGGCCGCCATCCGAGTTAAAGGTCAAGCGTAGTTCCAAAAGTTGATAAATTCATGGGGTTTCCGGGGTCGGTTAATCTGATTATGATGTTCTTTTATCAATTTTATGTCACCATCCTGTCCTTAGGCTACAATGAAGTCCATTTCCTGGTTGAAGAAGATGAGGGAAGATGCGCCAAATTCACACTTGAGTGGGTATAAATCTTGGCCTGCGCCCATATGTTTCATCAACATGCATACTTTCCTCTGTGAAATGCATAATAAATTTGTTTTCGAGGGTTGGGAAGGAAAATAGATAAACAGTAGAAACAGACTATAAATAAAGAAATTAACAGCTTGTTCGATTTGTTTTGAAGGATTATATTCAATGACCCGGACAGCTTTGTCTTTATTATCGTTTATAAAAACGTCTATAATCACTCTCAGATGGAAGATAATACCAATACGAAATGCATTAAGCAACGTCTAGACATAAAGGTCGAATCTCAACTTTATTTTTCTCATTCTTCTTTACATTTCGAAGCGTTGCATGGGATCTTTATCCTGTTTTTTTTCTACATACATCAATGCCCCCATTTAAGCATACTTTGAATCTGGTCACGCTTCGAAAAGTTCGTGGCCTAGAATTGTTCTTCTGTTGATGATCAAATACAGAAAGCACCCTTTATCGATCAGGGAGAGTGTGAAAAAAGCACACAGTATAGGACCCGTATAGGAGCAGTGCAATTTAAATATCAAGGGATGGATTAGAGTTTATTTCTAAAATGAAATGAAGGGCTATTTTATTTTCAAGATCATTTCGCACGAATCTATCTTTTTTCCTTGAGTCTAGATGGAAAAGGTAATAATGCCTTTAAACGTGTGTCCTCTTGCAGGCGCGGATCCAGGATTTTCCAATAGGGGGGGCCGGAAATTTGAAAATTGCGCAGACAGTTTTTCAACTCAACATACCAATACTGACAAGGTCATATTAGAAGCACCATACCGGTAATTTTTTATAACATTTTCATCGGGGGGGGGGGGCTGAAGCCTCTTGCCCGAAAAAGTAATTTTCTGGTTTCACAATTCGGCTAGTGAGCGAAGCGAGCGAGCAAAAATTTGAGGATAATATGTATTTTGTGAAAGTGTTATTTATCACCAAAATATACGAGAAAAGATATAACAAATTCATATTCGGGCAGCTCGCTGTCCCCTCCCCCCCTCCCCCCTCCCCCCATTACGCGCGAAGCGCAGAAGCTTTAATGTTCATGAAATTATTAGAGAAAGAAGACGATTCGTTGTACCGTTCTCGGTTGTTAATCATTGTCTGAATTCAGTTTCCATACCCCCTCCCGCGCGAAGCGCGGAAGCTTTGACGTTTCATTAAATCATTAGAGAAAGAGTACTGTTCTCGACTCTTAATCCTTGTCTGAATTGAGTCCCCCCCCTTCCCTCTCCCGCGTGAAGCGCAAAAGTTTAACGTTTCATTAAATTATTAGAGAAAGAAGACGATTCGTTGTACCGTTCTCGATTCTTACTCATTGTCTGAATTCAGTTTCTATACCCCCTCCCGCGCAAAGCGCGGAAGCTTTGACATTTCATTAAATCATTAGAGAAAGAGTACCGTTCTCGACTCTTAATCCTTGTCTGAATTGAGTTCCCCCCCCCCCTCTCCTGCGCGAAGCGCGGAAGCTTTGACGTTTCATTAAATTATTAGAGAAAGAAGACGATTCGTTGTACCGTTCTCGGTTGTTAATCATTGTCTGAAATCAGTTTCCCCCCTGCGCGCGAAGCGCAGAAGCTTAAATGTTCATGAAATTATTAGAGAAAGAAGATGTTCGTTGTGCCGTTCTCGGTTGTTAATCATTGTCTGAATTCAGTTTCCATACCCCCTCCCGCGCGAAGCGCGTAAGCTTTGACGTTTCATTAAATTATTAGAGAACGAAGACGATTCGTTGTACCGTTCTCGGTTGTTAATCATTGTCTGAATTCAGTTTCCATACCCCCTCCCGCGCGAAGCGCGGAAGCTTTGACGTTTCATTAAATTATTAGAGAACGAAGACGATTCGTTGTACCGTTCTCGGTTGTTAATCATTGTCTGAATTCAGTTTCCATACCCCCTCTCCTGCGCGAAGCGCGGAAGCTGTGACGTTTCATTAAATCATTAGAGAAAGAGTACCGTTCTCGACTCTTAATCCTTGTCTGAATTGAGTTCCCCCCCCTCTCCTGCGCGAAGCGCGGAAGCTTTGACGTTTCATTAAATTATTAGAGAAAGAAGACGATTCGTTGTACCGTTCTCGGTTGTTAATCATTGTCTGAAATCAGTTTCCCCCCTGCGCGCGAAGCGCAGAAGCTTAAATGTTCATGAAATTATTAGAGAAAGAAGATGTTCGTTGTGCCGTTCTCGGTTGTTAATCATTGTCTGAATTCAGTTTCCATACCCCCTCCCGCGCGAAGCGCGTAAGCTTTGACGTTTCATTAAATTATTAGAGAACGAAGACGATTCGTTGTACCGTTCTCGGTTGTTAATCATTGTCTGAATTCAGTTTCCATACCCCCTCCCGCGCGAAGCGCGGAAGCTTTGACGTTTCATTAAATTATTAGAGAACGAAGACGATTCGTTGTACCGTTCTCGGTTGTTAATCATTGTCTGAATTCAGTTTCCATACCCCCTCTCCTGCGCGAAGCGCGGAAGCTTTGACGTTTCATTAAATCATTAGAGAAAGAGTACCGTTCTCGACTCTTAATCCTTGTCTGAATTGAGTCCCCCCTTCCCTCTCCCGCGCAAAGCGCGGGAGCTTTGACGTTTCATTAAATTATTAGAGAAAGAAGACGATTCGTTGTACCGTTCTCGATTCTTAATCATTGTCTGAATTCAGTTTCTATACCCCCTCCCGC